GGCATACACTGTGAGATTTTTGGGGCGATTTTCCAGTCATGCGAGAATCTTTCGATCGGGCCGACTTTCAGCCTGATCGTGAGTCGTGTAGAGTACAGGGGGTTACGAGGGGCGATCAGCCTCTCACGCAACCTCTCGATCAGGAATCAATGAGGTCGGGAAAATATGAAACGTATTTTATTTTCTCCCGACCGTCGAGGGCAAATCGCTCAGGGCGCAAACAAGGATTCCTCCCTTTATTCTTCCTCTCAGATGTAAACGCAGCAGCATGGCTGGGATGAAATGAGTGAAATGCAGTTCTGTCTGTAAAATTGACAGACCGTAGCAGCCATGTTTGCTCAGCCATGTCTTTTTTTTCCCAAATATGTCGTCTCCTTTTCTTTTTAGGGCTTTCAGCACAAAATTGCACAAATTGCCGATGCAACGCATTTCACTCTACTGAGCTCAATGTTCTCCTTCAATTTGTTTGGCTTCCAGAGAGACGAGTCAGACCAGCTCCAGCTGAGTCCGACATGATTTTTTAGTCATACAGCATGAGCAGGTAAATCGCACGAGAGCGTCGGGCCAAACATAAATCGTGAGCGGTGAACTCACACTGTACGAATGAACCCTGCGATTAGTCGTACAGCGTGAGCGGTAGCATTGTGCAACGACTAAAAAAAAAAAAAAAAAATGGCAGCGTACGCCCGGCTTTAAAGAAACGGTAAAGGTCAAAAGGTCAACCCCTCCCCCTTTTATGAAATCAGACAAAATTGGTGTCAAAACGGTTGTGCTATGTTTGCGCAGCGAAAACTTTTGCTGCGCGAACGTAGCACAAACGGAGTTGAGTTAATTGACACCCATTTCATCTGATTTGAAGAAGGTGGTGGTGATGGTGGGGGGGGGGTGACCTTTGATGACCTCTAGAAACATTTCTTTATATCTTTAAAATGAAAACGAAAAGTTTTGCTGCACAAACGTTTGAAACAGATTTGGTCTGATTTGAATAAGGTGGGCGGGGCAACTGTACTCGGGTATAAAAACATCCAGCACTCTAATCTGAGGATATGAATGAGTTTACCGGATCAGGGCTATGTCATCTATGAGGCCACCCTTCCCATTGTACAAACAGGAGGCTTTGATCCCCAGCTTATTGCTCGCTACTGACAGCAAGTCAGACAAGGTCCCGTAAACTGCTACAACCTGTGAAGAAAAGAAATAAAGTTGAGATGCACTGGAGAAAAAAAAAGAAGTTATTTTTCATAAAATAAGTGCTTTTGTTCTTGGATTGAGGAGGTAAAAAACAAGACAATTTACACTTAAAATAAGAAAACTCAAAAAACTCATTGTCATATTTTAAGTGCATATTATCTAATATTATTTTAAGAGAAGAAATACTGATTCCAAGGGCAAATTATCTCATTCACCTACTCAAATTAAGGGTAAATACACTTAATTTAAGATTTTTTTTTACTTATTTCTAGATGTTTTTTTCCAGTCTGAACTGTGTTTAGATATTAAACATGGAAATGAGCAACGTTCAACGGCCTCCTCAGCGATATTAGCCTATAAATCTGAAAGCTGTAGCAGAATAGAGATAGTTTTTCATGATGATGCAGCTTGTTTAGCTCTTAGGGGGAAACAGCCAGTCATTCTGCGGCCCAGCCTCCCACATTCACTCAAACTGCCTGACTTTTCACCTACCTTGCCATTTTTAGACGTCCCGTTAACAAACAGGGTAACTCTTCTCATTCTTTTGTGCTCTTTGGTTCTAACCGAGTTCCTGTAATTTAGAACAATAAACTATTATTTTAGTTTTTCAGCCAGTTGCTGCTCTGAGAAAAAGACATGAAGCTGAGCAGTTAGCTACATCACACAATAACACGAGAGAAAAAAGATGCCTTCAAAACCTCTCGAAAAGATCAGCTTCGGTTTAATTTTATTCTTTATCAGTGGCAGTAAAAGCGCCTGATATGTTTATGAATCGGCTACATGCCGTATAATAGTTCTGCGGTAGGGTAATCCATATTTACTCCATAAAATCGCCATTTACTAGACGCAAAGGTGTAAATAAATTATAAATTGTGACAATACCAGCACGATGACTTAAACTAACTTTTTTTATAATGTCTTGACTGTTTCTTACTTAAATGTAGATTTAACACTTTTATATATCAACAAATAATATGTTACCGTAAAAAAAAAAAAACTGTTTTTATTATTTATTAGACAAACATTATTTGAAACGCATAATGCAGACTGCACCTGAAGTATGCTTTGTAAATGACACTCTGCTATTGGCTGAGGGTCTCTACGTAATGACGTAGTGCACGTCAGACCATAGGGCGTGTGCCTTAACAGTTAGCCGTGGATTAACCCGGCTGAAGATGATGACGGGTTAGTTAGTTAGTTAGTTAGTTAGTTAGTTAGTTAGTTAGTTAGTTAGTTAGTTAGTTAGTTAGTTAGTTAGTTAGTTAGTTAGTTAGATCATATATCAGTATCATAAAGTCTGAAGACACAACACTTAAGGTGACATGTGTGGTCCCCTGAGGATGGCCATCAATAGGATATTTTCACCNAGTTAGTTAGTTAGTTAGTTAGTTAGTTAGTTAGTTAGTTAGTTAGTTAGTTAGTTAGTTAGTTAGTTAGTTAGTTAGTTAGTTAGTTAGTTAGTTAAACAGACAGACAGACTCATTTTAAGAAAATGTTGCTTTTTAGATAAAATGTTCTAGTGTAATACTAAATAAATGCATTATATTGATATGTGCTGACAGAATATACAGTAACTTGTGATTTCCCTTGGACTAATTTTAATAATTCATGATTTGATAATTATTTTTCAATAGCAGTTAGATTTAAACTTCAGCTGTACCAAGATAGGATCACAGTTTTCATCTGTTAGATCAGAAGTCTGCAACCTTCACTTTGTGGCTCAATTAATATATTAAATTATATGCTCTTGCCCTGTTTGTTTGTTTATTTTCGGTGTGTTTTTTTTTCTAGTGCTCTCATAAAAACAAAACAAAAATCCTTGGCCCCCTTATCAATTTTGTGTAGAACCGCCACTGTTGTCAGAAAAATACCTCCCATGGTTCCCTCTAAGTACCCTGGCTTCCTCTGGATCCCTAAAATTAGGCTGTTTAGTTTATTTGGCTCTAGGTTTAACTTCTCACACATATAAAGTCATTCAGACAAAATGTGTTTAACCAAAAATAAAGTTCAAATGTTTTGTTTATTAGCCTTTTTAAGATTTGCCATCATTTGCGATAAAGGCCCCAATAGATCATAAAAGTTCCCACCAATAACGTAGTTTACATATTCTCCCTAGAAATCATGGCTAAAAATCGATTCTCCCATTTTTTTCCTACATAAACTGTTTATTTAATAGTTTTTTTTTCTCTCTTAAGTTTTTTAATATCAAAATGACAATAAAAAATGCTATTTTTCTTTTAATCCTGTTTCACAAAAATAAATGTAAATATAACAGATTAAATATTTGCAGCTAGTGGTTTGAACACAGTGACCTAGTTTATTAGTTATACAAATTAAATTCATTTCTATAGCGCCAATTCACAACCCATGTCATCTAAGGCACTTTCCAGTTCACCAGATCATCCAGCCAAAATGATTCAAAGTTTTCTATCTAAGGAAAACCAGTTGATTGCATCGACTCATTGACTAGAAGGCAATCCCTCACACTAAGCATGCTTTTAGCGACAGTGGAGAGGAAAAACTCCCTTTTAGCAGGAAGTAACCTCCAGCAGAACCAGGCTCAGTGTGAGCGGCCATCTGCCGAGGCCGACTGGGGTTCAAGGAGACAGAAGCAGAGATACAAAAAGCAACTGTAAAAGGCGGCCCCGTCCAGGAAACACACAGCCAGGCAGACGAGCTCTGAGCCTGGTCCCATGTCAGAGGATTAAGAGAGCACATCCAGTTAGTCACAGTCAGAGAAACAGGACTACACTGGAAAACAGGCGAAAAAAGACATATAAGAACAAAAAGTAATTAACTGATGTCAATCTGATCTGTGGAGGCCCAAGGAGGGTTTTTGTGAAAAAAAAAAAAACTAAAATATATTTAAAAAATCCATTTTTTTTTTATCTGAAATGATATCCTCATAAAAATTCAATTAATCAATCAAATCAAATAATTGCCCCACGCTATATACAAAGTGAAGCACATTTTAGAATAAGCGGTAAAAACCGATAAAAAGTTGTAAAAATTCAAATGTCTTGAGATAAAAAAAACAAACCCACCCACCCATTAAACCGGCTGCCTCGCCGGTTTTAGAATGGTGCGCACCCACTCTGCAGCGCTAGCTCCGGCCATTCTGAGCTCCTTCGTTTTCTTTTAGACCAGTTTCTGTTCATGTACTTCAAACCGCCTTCTTTTTATCACATTACAGCAAAAGCCATCGTCTTCTGAAATGTTTTCGCACCCTTGATATTGCAGCTTGTTAAAAAGCCTCAGCCTATGGCGGGTTCTGTGTGTAGCCATGATGCATGACAGGAAAGTTGTAAACTGATGTTTTAAAGTTTATGCCTTTCTGAAGATCTAATATTAGAAAGCTGTCCCTCCAGTTACAGCTATGTCTGACAAACACCATTGTTCATGTTGCTCTCATCCAGTCTCCTCCCCAAGTGTTCTTCAGACTTTGGAGGAAATGGATTTTGAAAGAGGTTTGCTTTGCATATAGAAGATAATTCAACACATTTTATCCTCTGGCTTGTAGTTGCAGCCATAAAAGTAAAGTGTAATGAATTTCTGCAGGTATCTGGTCAGCTGCAATGGATGGAGACCTGCAGAGAGTGAGGCAGTTGCTTCAGAAGGGGACTGATGCAAACAGCAGAGATTCAGCTGGGTACACAGCTCTGGTGAGTCTGGAGATTTACCATTTACCTAGTATTACCAGGCAGTTGCCCAGGGCCCCAAGTTCCTGGGGGCCCCATAAAACTCTTTTTACATGTATGGTTAATACTATTACTTATTTGTGCACATTAATTATTTTTTTTGACAAAAAGAAAAGAAAAGAAGCAGAAAAGTATCGTGAAGTGAAAGATTTAAACTGGGAAACGGTTGAAAGTATGATAGGAAAACGAGTTGGATCATCAGAATCTGGCAGAGTGACATAAGCAAAAAGACAAACTATTAATTATGAGGACGAATTAGATTATTTCATTATGCTGGGTTAAAACAGACAGTTTGGAAATATTTTTGGGTTTTTTCTGGGGTGAGTCTTGTTTCCTGTTTCCTCATTAAACTCCTAAAGGGCAGATTAGACTTCTGCAACCGCACACATAAAAAGTCGCTTGGGTCTGGTCGTGAAGCATTTTTGCTGGTATGCTTTCTGTAACCTGACTCCGCCAGATGGATTTGCTCCGCATATCCATCTGGAAAACCTTCCGTTGAAGTAATTTTGGGAAGGGGC